ATATAAGGGAGGGATCCCATGAAAATAGACAGGTGGTCAATGGAGTAGAGGAAGGGGATTGACAGGGAGGGTGGAGGGAAAAGAAAGTAGAAGTACTGGGGATGAAATGGAGCAAATTATATTTCATGCATGTATGCCTACATCAAAAAGGACCCCACTATTACATATAACTAAAAAGCATGAATAAAAACATTTTTTTAAAGAGGGAAGATAGCCAGGCATGGTGGCACACACCTATAATCCCAGCAGCTCTGGAGGTTAAGGTAGGAGAATCATGAGTTCAAATCCAGCCTCAGCAAAAGCAAGGCACTAAGCAACTCAGTGAGACTCTGTCCCTAAATAAAATACAAAATGGAGTTGGGGGTGTGGCTCCAGTGATCAAGTGCCCCTGATTAATCCCTGGTACCCCCCTGCAAAAAAAAAAAATAAGGAAAATATATAGACACTCTCAATTAAACTATGATTTTATCAACTAAAACAAAATGTGGTTGACTTTAGTTACATGAAAGATGAGAAATAAAATTTTAATAAATTCTAACTTTGTTAGAAATAATTTATTTAGGCTTAAATAACTAAGTGGGCTTAACACATACAATTTTTAATATTTTCCTACTTTAACATTGCAGGAAAAAAATGAAACAGGATGGGGTTGAGGCTCAGTGGTAGAGCACTTGCCTAGCATGTGTTAGGCACTGGGTTAAATCCTCAGTACCACATACAAAAATAAATAAATAAAACAAAGTTATTGTGTCCATACAAAAACAAAAAAAAAACCTAAAAAAAGGGAAAAAAACATTAAAACATGAAGGAAGGAGATTGTGGCTCAGTGGTAGAGTGCTTGCCTGGCACATGTGAGGCATTGGGTTCAATCCTCAGCACCACATAAAAATTAAAGTATTGTGACCATATGCAACTAAAAATTATATTTTTAAAATATTTTTTAAAAATTAAGGAAAACAAGTAATGGAGTAAACTAAGGCTCCATCTTTTGGGGTTCAGGACCCTCCCTCAATGTTCCTCCTTCCTACATGTCAAGTTCCTCAGAAAACACCTAGGCTTGCAGTGTTCTGATAATGAGGGTCACAGCCTCAAGGAAGGAGCCCTTCTATAAGGTGAGCCTTGTTGAAAGAGAAGAGAATGAGCTCACAGCCAGGCTCCCCTCAACTCTCAGTCCCAGGTTGGATACTTTCTTGTTACCCTCCCCACATTTTCCTCATCTACCACTGGTCCATCCAGAAGATTCTGAGGCCTCTCCCTGAGGCTGCTCTAAGGAGAAGAAAGCTCCATGCATCCCCTAAGCTAGGCATCAGCCCAAGGCTGCTCTGAGAAGAAAGAAACTCTGGGCATCCCTAGAGACATGACCCATGAGGGTCCCCAAGATATTTAATAGTCAGCTCAATTTAAAAGCACTAGTATAGTGAAAAGTGGATGCTAAGGAAAATAAATATTTGGAACAACTTAATATTATTCAATATGTTTCTCATGATTATATACAGCTTCCTCCTACCAGTCTAGGATTGCAATTCATAGAGCTTTAAATGACTTCCATTCCTCACTATATTTCAATAATTAGCACATGCAGAAATAATTTCTCAACAAATTTATATTAAATAAGTAGCAATTTAGAGAAAATCAGATATAATTCACACCTGTGAAATTAAAACAACATATGTATGTGGCAGTTTGCCAAAGAATACTTGGCATATTCAAATAATAAAATGAAGAATTGTTGCTTTCCTTCATGTGATAAGGCAGTTTATTGTCATGTTGTTTCAAAAAAAAAAACACTGATAGTTTCCTTATAAAAAAATAGTTGTTATTGTTTAACATGGATTTTAGTTTTGTTTTTTTTTTATATTTACCCATTTATCTTGAACACTGAGAAGGTATTTGCTGTGGTCAGACACAGTGAGATACTGATCAATCAATTGTATTTTCAACTAATGTTGTAAAATGCATCTCTGAAACATTTGCAATTGTTTTCATTTTATATAATAGCATCATGCACACTCAGCATGAAAAGAGGTTTCTAATTAATTTTGGTATTAATACTGAGTTAGGTACATTGAAAAGATGTTGAGAAAATTACATCTATAATGGTGGAATCTCCCAATTCTTTGTTTTCATTTTTCCTGTGGTACTTCTGCTATTGGTATTAGTATGTTAACTTTAATTTGAATTGTCCTTACAGTTCCTTAAAACATAAAACACTTAGAATTGAGGAAATCACATGTAGCGTGTTTATTTTATAAACTGATATAAGATTCAATGAAAGACTTCAGCATTATTAATCAAAATTCCATTAAGTCACAATGTGAGATACAGTATTAAAATTTTATATAGCTAAAGGTTTTTTTTTGTAATATTTATTTTTCAGTTTTTCGGCGGACACAACATCTTTATTTGTACGTGGTGCTGAGGATCGAACCCAGGCCACACGCATACTAGACGAGCGCACTACCGTTTGAGCCACATCCCCAGCCCAGCTAAAGTTTTTTTAACAATGAATTATAGGCACCCTAAGCAAGTATGTAGTTCCAATTATTCATTTACTTAACTTCATTCATTCATAATAAAATAGTTGATAAAAACCACACATCAGAGTGTCTGTTTTTGAAAAAAATTGTTTGGTGAATTACTAACAATGCAGCGTGCAATTTTTATTCATTATTGGTTCATCATACCCATATCTTATCCACAAAGTAATATTGTGGATAATATAATATTCAATAAGTTGTAGCTAAAAACATGAAAAACATGAAAAACCACTTACCATATTGTACAGATTATATAAATTTATGCATTTATATCTCTTTTTTTACATTGGCCTATTTCTGGTATTTTTCTATAGCATTATAAAACAGACTAAAACAACAAGATAAAATGACTTTGAGTCTAAGGCCTCTTACTGTGAGAGTAGGTAGAACATCTAAGATTACATTTTAAAAGCCCTGGTATAGGTTAGATGGTAATGGCTTAGCATTTATGATTCTTATTTATATATATATATTTCAAAGGTGATATCTTGTATTTCTTATATTCCTCACAGTGCTTAGATTAATGTATTGTCATTTACTTTGGGACTTGACTATGTGGAATTGATTCTGTTTAGTAAAGCAAAAGCAAGAGTGGATCCTTAAAATATAGCAAAGACTCTATGAGAATGTTTTGATTTTTAATGGGAAGAATTGCTACTGATCACAGAGGGAATTTGAATACATGGCTACATCTTGATGATACCCATTAAACACAAATGGTCTGAACTGACTATATCAAAACCATTAGAATACCATGAATAAAGAGGCAGATTTAAAAAAAAAAAAGGTTTGTCTTGCACCATTTTGAGTCTCCTATTAGAGTACAAATTATAGTATTTTTTACCAGGGAAAGGACTCAAAATCATGTAGCTGCTTTTTAAGCCTCTTGTATTCACACAAGTCACCATCAATCATAATACCATTGTAGGTAGAGAAGTGTACATCTTCACAAGCAGAAAAATCAAATACAAAAAGTGCAATATGCCTTATGCAAAAAGGACCTCTTCATTTATGTCATACTTCTTTTAGTTCCCAGGTTACATATCTTTGGGCTCAAGATATTCAACCAGAAGAAAGTAGAGTTCAACCAGTAGAAAGTGTGAGTTCTTCTGTGCCTAAAAAGGTCTGGTTTTTGACTAAAAGCGTTGCCACATTATATACATTTGTAGGGCTACTCTCCAGTGTGAGTTCTGCTGTGGCAAATAAGGTATGATTTTCGACTGAAAGCTTTGCCACATTCTTTACATTTGTAGGGCTTCTCTCCAGTGTGAGTTCTGCTATGGTGAATAAGGGATGAGTTTTGACTGTAAGCTTTGCCACATTCATTACATTTGTAGGGCTTCTCTCCAGTGTGAGTTCTACTGTGGCAAATAAGGTGTGATTTTTGCCTGAAAGCTTTGCCACAATCTTTACAGATGTAGGGCTTCTCTCCAGTGTGTGTTCTGCTGTGGTGAATAAGGCTTATTTTTTTACTGAAAGCTTTGGCACATTCTTTACATTTGTAGGGCTTCTTTCCAGTGTGAGTTCTCCTGTGGCAAATAAGGTATGATTTTCGACTGAAAGCGTTGCCACATTCTTTACATTTGTAGGGTTTGTCTCCAGTGTGAATTCTGCTGTGTTGAATAAGGTCTGTGTTTTGACTGAAAGCGTTGCCACAATCTTTACAGATGTAGGGCTTCTCTCCAGTGTGAGTTCTATTGTGGCGAATAAGGTGTGGTTTTCGACTGAAAGCTTTGCCACATTCTTTACATTTGTAGGGCTTCTCTCCAGTGTGAGTTCTCCTGTGGCAAATAAGGTCTGATGTTCGACTGAAAGCTTTGCCACATTCTTTACATTTGTAGGGCTTCTCTCCAGTGTGAGTTCTCCTGTGGCAAATAAGGTCTGGTTTTCGACTGAAAGCTTTGCCACATTCTTTACATTTGTAGGGCTTCTCTCCAGTGTGAGTTCTGCTGTGGTAAGTAAGTCCTGCTTTTCGACTGAAAGCTTTGCCACATTCTTTACATTTGTAGGGCTTCTCTCCAGTGTGAGTTCTGCTGTGGAAAACAAGGCCTTCTTTTTGACTGAAAGCTCTGCCACATTCTTTACATTTGTAGGGCTTCTCTCCAGTGTGAGTTCTGCTGTGGCGAATAAGGCCTGGTTTTTCAATAAAAGCTTTGCCACAATCTTTACATTTGTAGGGCTTCTCTCCAGTGTGAGTTCT